AGGTTTCTTCAGCCATAGGATTTGAGGCTTTATTTCCCCACACTGGAATGCTCAGTTGCTGAGCTGTCTCACTCCCCAGTTGTTCCTCCTGGTTTATCTGCATGCAAATGTGGACTGCCCACTCCGCCAGTTTCCACCTTGCCCACCCTGTTCTTCTAGCCACTGCCTTGTCACAGGTCCTTTCCATCCCAGCTATTTGTCTCCGCCCCTCCTATTGGTTTGGATGAATGTTTCTTCATTAACTCCTTTGTTGTCAGACTTCCATACAGTTCGATTTTCTGGCAGGTCTGGTTATGTTTTGTTTTTAAATTTGTTGTTTTCCTTCTTTTGGTTGTGTGAGGTAGCAAAGTGTATATACCTATGCCTCCATCTTGTCTGGACATCGCCTTTTCACTCTCTTAATCTTTTCTTTTGATGAACAAAAATTCTTAAGTCCAGTTCATTAGCCTTTGCTTTCATGGCTAGTGATTTTTGTATCCTCTTTAAGAAATCTTAATTTCTCCAATGGCATGAAGATATTCTCCTGTTTTTTTTTCCCTAAGAGTTTTACATTTTACAATTAAGTCTCTGATATTTCTTTAATGAATCTTTGTATGTGGTACAAGGTAGGGCTCAAGGTTAATTTTTTTCTCATACATATATACAGTTGGCATGGCATCATTTATTAAAAATATCATCCTGTACAAATTGAACTTCAGTGTTATCTTTTCATAAGTCATGTGGCCATACATGTGTGGGTTTATTTCTGGACTCTCTTTTGTGTATCATTTGTCTATCTACCCTTATGTCAATAAAAGAGTAGAATTTAGGGGAAAAGTTAACCATAATACAGAGGAAAGAGGTCCCCTGACCCTGTAAGGGTGTTAAAACACACATCCTTAGCTAATCAGCTTAAAATGCCCACTCTTCCCGTCAGGACAACTCCAGCATCAGTATTCTCCTTAGCACTCTGGTTTTGTTTCCTGTGATTCTGGTTCTTGACCCTTATCTTGTGTTTATTGCTTGTTCATTTCAATGAGCTCTGCTATGCATGTAAAGGCATGGATGATATATTTTATTCAGCACTTATGGATGTTTTGTAGCAAGAGAGTTTTCATTTTATATAATTCATGACTTTGCTGGAAACAGAAAATGTCAATTTCAAGAAAAAGGTAATTACATGGCAGAGGGCTGAAAACAGTACGTGATGTCCTATTTGGTGTTCAGCATTTCTCCTTAGAGAAAAGGGGAAGAAGATAACTCTGACAATTCTCTGGCTATCCTGAAACTTCTATCTTGGTGCTTATCAGAGAATCCCAGAAGCCCTTGTCAGAAATGTGCATCACCCTGGTGCTGACAGATTTCTAAGATGCTGTGACAGCCCCACGCAATCTCTAAAGCAAGCTGCTCTTTTACTAGGCATTGCTGAAGCATCACAAAATTGTCTGTTCATTTCTTGTTTTCATAATTTCCATCTTTAAAAGATTTATTATTTTCTTAAATTTTCTCCTCTTCTTTAGAAATACTTTCAGAGATAGTCTATGGTTATTTGGACTAGCTTTCAAAGCCTATACTTAACTTTAAGACAAAATTTCTATGTTCAAAATCATCTAAATTCAAGTGTGAATATCCTATAATATGTATAATAATATTCCACCCTTTTTTTAAATACTGTATATCTTTAGAACAGTTTTAGATTCACAGAAAAATTGAGATGAAGATACAGAGGTATCCCATATACTCCCCTGCCCCTGCACATGCACAGCTTTCCTCATTATTTCTCTTTGTTTTTAAAACAGTTGGCCTTAAGAAGCTATTAAGACATCATACATAAGATAAGGGTTTAATATTCAAAATATAAAAAGAACTCATATAACTCAGTAGCAAAAAAACCAATATGATTAAAAAATGGACAGAGGAATTGAATAGACATTTTCCAAAGAAGATATATAAAGCACTAACAAGTAAATGAAAAGATGCTTAAAATACCAATTATCAGAGAAATGTAAATCAAAACCACAATGAAATATCATCTCATATTTGTTAGAATGGATATCATCAATAAGACAAGAGATAGCAAGTGTTGGAAAGGATGTGGAGAAAAGGAAATCTTTGTGCACCATTGATGGGAATGTAAGTTGGTACAGTCACTATGGAAATAGTATGGAGGTTCTTCAAAAAAATTAAAAATAGAATTATTATATAATCTAGAAATTCCCCTTCTGGGTATTTATCTAAAGGAAATTAAATCACTATCATGAAGATATATCTGCATTCCCATGTTCATTGCAGCATTATTCACAAGAGTCAAGATATGGAACAACCTAAGTTTCTATAGATAGATGAATTGACAAAGAAATATGGTGTATATATACAATGGAATGTTATTCAGCCATAAAAAAGTAAGAAAATTCTACCATTTGAGCAACATGAATGGACCTTGAAGGCATTGTGCTAAGTGAAATAAGTCAGTAAGAGGAAGACAAATACCATATGAACTCACTTACGTGTTGATTCTATATATAAAAAAAGAACTCATAAAAACAGATAGCAGGTTGGTGGTTGCCAGAGGCAAGAGATTGGTGGTGGGGGGGGGGGCAGAAGTGGGTAAAGTTGATCAAAAGGTACAAACTTACAGTTATAAGTAAATTCTGAGGATGTAATGTACAGCATGGTGACCATAGTTTATAATGTAGTATTGTGTATTTGAAAGTTGCTAATGAGAGTATATCTTAAAAATATTCATCACAAGAAAAAAATTGTGACTATATAAGGTGACAGATGTGAAATAAACTTATTGTGTTTATCATTTCACAATAATACATATACCAAATCATTATGTTATACACCTAAAACTAATACAATGTGATATGTCAATTACAATTCAATAAAACCAGGGGAGGGAGCTATTAAAAGCTGTGATGGTGAAGTTAGGATGTCCCTTTGAATTCCTGGCCTGACTGATGACTTTAGTCAAGTTAGTTACCTACTCTGTGTTTTCATTTGTTCACTATTTTTTTAAAAAAAATCAGTACAATAATATGTGTAGCTGCCTCTGGGGCTGAGGTGAGAACTGACCCAGGAGCACTGTGCTTATAGGTGGGAAGAGCAGTGGCTGACTCAGGCTCAGCAGTCAAGAGCAATAACCATAATAAAAACACCAATATTAATTACTTCAAAGACACAACTGGTTGTCTTTTTTCACAGTCCCATAAATATCACATCAGCTATCTCTTTATTTTTATCTGTAAGTTGTACCTCAAAGGGAGAAACAAAGCTCTTCTACTCACTTAACTCATTTTTGCTTAAATTTGAAACCTCATCTCAGCTTTAACTTTCTCAGATACCATAGAAAATATATCTTTCTCTCCTAATCCCCCAACCAAAGTCTCCTTGTCTATATTCAAGAAAGAAAGAAAAGAAGAGAGTGATGAGAGAGAGAGGGAGAGGGAAAGGGAGAGGGAGAGAGAGAGAAGACATACCAACTGGGAAAGCAACATCTTCCTCTAGCCCAAGTCGGTTTGGCTTCCATTTTGTTCTGTAACACAGGAGGAATAGACCACTTACCTGCTCCTTGTTTTTCTTCTCAGAAAGAAAGTTTAGGCTAATTCAAACATTCTGCTAAAGTTTGTTTTCTGCTAAGTTTCTGCCCTGAAAGATCAAATTACTGCCCCCCCCACCTTTTTTGGACAACATTCAGATAAGCAGAAATATCTATTGCATTATCAACATGTACAGATGGCACATTAGATAACATGAGGCATACCCAATCCTCCCTCATATTTGTTTGAGCACAAGTAGTTTAGTGGAAAGAATGCATACTGTAGAGCCAGAGAGATGGGCCTCAAAAACCAGTCAGAGGGCAAATTACCCAACTGAAAAATCCTGGCCTCTTTCTGCCCTAAAGCCACAAGGGCAAAAGCCAGCCTTTCTGACTGGAGCAAGGCCTGATCCTCAAGTTGAGGAAGAGTGTGGATTATGTGTTTGGTTGTGAAGTTTCTGAATAGTTACAAACCAACCCACATGATCCTGTGTATATTGTTAGGTATGTGGGATAAATGGAATGTCCCCAAAGATGTCCTAATTCCCAGAATCTGTGACTATTTTGCATTACATGGCAAGAGGGACTTGGCTAATATAACTAGTTACGTATTTAAAAGAGGTGGTTTATTCTGGATTATTCAGTGAGCCCAAATCTAGTGAGGTGGACGAACACTTGGAAGCAGATAACTCTTTATGTGGCTTGAGGCAAAGCAATTGGGCAAAGTGGGGGTGTCAAAGAGACTGTACATGTGAAAAAGACTTATTTTGCCTTTGCTGGACTTAATAATATAGCAGTCACAAGCCAGAAAATGCAGGAAGCCTCTAGAAACTGAGAATGACCCCCAGCATCAGCCAACCAGGAAACAAGGACTTCCATCCTACAACAGACTAGAACTGAAATCTGCCAACAACCTAAATAAGCCTGGAAGTTAATTCTACACACATAGCACCACCTCTCAATAAGTGGCAAGGCTGGCTGACACCCAGATTTTGGTCTTAAGAGACTCTGAGCAGAGAACCTAGCCACTCCTGCCAGACTTCTGACCTATAGAACTAAATCATCAGTGGATATCATTTTCAGCTCTAAATGTGTGTAAATTGTTATGGCAGTGATAGAAGAGTAATGCAGTCAGATCTGAGATCCATAAAGAAGAAACAGATGCCACCTGGAACCTAATACCATGTCTGACATTTTGTCTCATCCAGGTTCTCAATACAATGCCCCATCTGTCCTCTCACTTTACCTTCCCATGAATGCAGTGAAGAAGGCAGAGGGAAATTTATCAATTCAGTTTCTCCAGTAAGGAGTCTGAGGCAAAGTGAGGTTCACAATTTGCCTACAGTGGCCTGCCTGCTTAGTGGAAAGACAGAGGTTAGAACTCCAGACTTGTGGCTCCCAGGCCAGGAACTTTCTCCAAAATCTCTGGTTTTGGAGAAACCAGAGAAACAAAGTATTAGAAATCAGACTGTCTACTCACCTTTCTGTAGATGGCAAATATGGTTCCAATGGAAGCCAGACAGTCGATGTTGGAAGATCCATCCAGTGGGTCAAAGCAGACCACATATTTCCCCTAAATGCACAGAAGGAAGACCCACTTCAGATCAACACAGTCTATGTAACTGTGAGGAGCAGACAATGCAACACCAAAAAGTGACTGAGGAAAAAGGGATATTCTTATTTTAAAAATACGATTACTTAAGGAGGGTGAAGTGTATCAGCATATATGAATTGTGCAGGTCAGGGCCTATCTGCCAATGACAGATTATTTATGGCTATAGAGGGCAATGGACCTCGCTCCACCTCCAAAAAGCTTTCTTTCTACCTCCTCTGGCTCTACCATCCCCTCCTACTTGGGTCCATGGGGACTTAGAGCTGCTGAGGGGGTGAAAAGTAACAAGGTCTAAAAAGGGCATTTTGCAGGGAAGAGGTGGGAAAACTGAAGATAAACTTAGACTCACTCCACCCACATTCATAGTAATGTCAGTTGTGGACTTATTGATAATTCTTTCTGACCCTTTTCCTAGATAGGCTTTTTTTTCTCATTTTGGAGCATTCTGAAAAAAAAAAAAAAAAGAAAATTTCAGAGCAATATCCCAGGGCCTTTGGGTCCATCCTATTAAGACAGCTAGTATATATAAATAGCTGGTATGCATAGATAAAATAAAAATACTCTTCTGCATTTTGCTGTACCCAACCCACATATCTGACATGAAGACCAGAAGACAGAGCAGGCTCCCCCACATTGCTGCGGGCTGGCTGTCACAGACAACTCCAGCCAACACTTCATGGAGAGAAATCACCAGATACTTTTATGGGCCTCCTTTGTGCAAGGCCCTATGAGAGCCTTAGTAATAGGGATTGGAGTATCCTAGCTAATTAAATATGGTAAAAAAAAAAAAAACCCTTGAAGTAAAATGGGAGTCACTTCTACTGTCACTAAAATTACTTTTCCCTAGATTAAGTTGAATTTTATTTCCTTTTTCATCACTGTGTTCAACTGGGGTGGGCAAGGATGGGAAGGAAAGGGCACAAATGAGTGGGGTAACTCATAAACTTGGATATTTCCCATTCTCCTTGCTGATAATCCAGCTTAGCCTGTCATTTCATTCATGTATTCATTCAACAGATTTGTTGGGCATCTAGCATATGTTGGAAAGTGTTTAAGAAATTTATATGGGAGTGGGCATGGAGTATTCAAGAACTAGCATGAAGACCTGTGTAGCTCAGGCCAGCTGGGAAAGAAAATGGTAGATCATATTGGAGAGAGACTTGAGGGTCATATCAGTGGAAATTGAAAGTTGAAAAGAATAGGTATGATTTAGCTTCAGTTATGTGAGACAAGAGGAGTAAAGTGCTTTGCATGGTCCCTGACATATGGTAGGTGCTTAGTAAATTTGGCTTTACCTTTTCCATACTACCTGTTCATCATAAAGAAATGGCACTTTGTCTCCAACATCCAATATATAAATCAAGGGACAATAGTCCCAGTACGTATTTTATACTACTGTATAAGCAGAAGAACATGATTGAATGTTTCAACCACCAAAAAACCCTCTTTCTTTAGTAAACTGTTCACAAAACCAGAGTGAATATTGACCCTCCCAGCCATGCCCTGCACTAACCAAGTTGACCATTGTACTAATGGAAGAGAGCCACCATCTTTATGTTTTCTTTTCTGTATTAGTCTGACAATGTGTTGGGAATATAGAAACCTCTGCTGAAACCATGTTCTCCTTGAGAGGAAGTGTGTGGGGGTGTGGCTTGTGAATAGAAGTGGGGAGGGAAAAAGTAAGAGGCTATATAGTACGACTCTTCCCAGGAACTCAACTCTTTACTGAACTTACTGATTTTCAAGTTTCCCCAAAATGCCAGCACTTGTTCCAGACCGGCAAGTAAGAAAATCCAAGTACCCTACTCACTGAGGCATTCTGGTAAATCAGTCTGATTTATTTCCTGAATGAATCACTGCACTGCTAGCTATGGAGTTGTTTTGTTTTGTTTTGTTTTGTTGTTTTGTTTGTTTGTTTGTTTGTTTGTTTTTACCAGCTAGCGTAAGACTTCTAAGTAAAGAAGTATGCATTTGTTTCTGGAAAACAAAATTAAGCAGTGGCGGAAAATCACAGAAACAAAAGAAATGCAAGGCAATTGTCTTCTCAACTCAGTATCACCATCTAGTGGTGATGACCGGAACTACATCCAGCCTCCCTTACGCACCCTCTTGTCCTTAGCGGTGATAATTGCCTCTTTATTTTCTTCTGAGACCAGTACACAGGTGCTGTAGGAGGACTGGAGCATGTTGATTACCAGGGAATTGGATAACACGTCCAGTTTCTTCACCTCATCCCCCGTCACATTCACGCTTCCCGCAATCCCATACCTAAGAAGATAAAAAAAAAAAAATTGTGTTTAGTGATATCACTAGACATCACCAAGAGATCCTGAACTCCAACAAATAAGTCCAGACACTAACACACCACCAGCGTATCTCCTTTCCCTTCATGGCTCCTGAGTCTCTAAGTTATAATCACAGACCAAGTATGCCCTGTCCCACAGCAGTGATTCTCATCCTGGCTTCTTTTACACCTCCAGGATATTATCCTAGTCCGCTGTTCTCCCAACATGCTAACCAGAATTCAGTCTTACTGTTGTAAATTACAAACCTGCCTGAAGCACAGTGCTATGATTAATGACTCCAAAAAAATAAAGAACCGAGAGTTTCCAGCCCTAGAGTTTCAATATTTGTTATTCATCCTCAAATAGTGGCCTGCTTGGCTGAATTGAAAATTGCCCTGCTTTAGGGTGGTGTTACTTGAATAAAAAGGAAATTTGGAGACAGACTTAACTAATTTAATCTAGTTTTTCACTCCCTTTTCAAGCAATATCAGAAAGAGCATTACTATAAAGTTCTATCTAGAGTCTTTGTGTTTTAGAGCATTAATATGCACAGGTTTCACACCTCCCACCCTGATAGAAGATCACTTGTCCACCCAGCGCTCCCAAGTCCCCACAGTTGGAGGGGACCACACAGGATCCACTGTCAATACCTGTTTCTACACCAGTACTGTCTCAGCTTCCAGACTCATCCACCCACTGGGCACACATCTGCCTTAGGATCAACCCCTGGGTTTACTGCCCGCCCCCCCCCCCCGTGCTCTTCTCTCCAAGAACCACATGACCACCACCCACTTAAGCCTTCTGCAGTCCAACAGCTGCAAAAGTCCTGTGGCCACTGACACCCAGCAAGCTGCTCCTCTCCTTTTTATCTTCACACATGGCTTTCTCCCCACAGAAATACTCCCTGCACACCATCATCTTTTCCCTACTGGGTCCCCTAACCCACTCTGGAAGCTTCCCTGGTCCCTCTTCATGTTCCCACCACACACCAGACACAGCCCTGCTATCCCATCCACATTGGCTCACAATGTGTTCATGGGAATGTTTCTTCTGCCAGATTATCTGCCCACTGAGGCAAGAAGTGGAGCTACTATATTTATTTCCATAGTATCCAGAGACATAGGAGGTGCTTAATATATGTTCATTGAATGACAAAAAAGAGGGAGAGTGGAACAGTAATCTTCTCCCTTTTTAACACCATTTATTTGTTGAAGGAATCCTCAGGTGGTCTAACAGGTGGCCCAGGTTGAGAACCTCAGATTTACGCTCAGGGGGAGCAAGTCATTTCCCACTCTCTTCCCTGACTGACAGCCTCTTCCCTCCCCCACAGCCCTGCCCCATGACTTGGTGTCTGCTGAGATGTGATGTACTGAGGCAGCTGCCTTGTAAAACAATACTGGTAGCCTGGCCCCAAAGAGTGTAGTTCCTGGTTCAAAACCAAAGCAAATAAACAAACAATAGCAACAACAAAGCTGGGTTATTTTGCATTGGAGTTTAAAGGCACCACAAACCCAACCTCTTGTTTAATGTGGATTCTAGAAGCAGATGCCACTGGAGAATGAAGAACTGGAGTTCCCAAGCCCTGTGGTGGGCAGAGTTGAGAAATACGTCTATCTTGTGCTTGCAAACTGCCCCCCACCACCCCACAAACCACACCCTTACCTCCCCTTCAACAGGACCCCTCACCCTCCCTCAAGGTACTGGGCATCCTGCTGTGAAAAACCCACAGCCACACCCGACCTTCCAGAAAGAATGAAGGCACACTCCCAAGGAGGCCTGATTGCCTACCGCTCCAAGTTAGAGCATGGGTAAGAGGCATTTTACTCAAGGAAAATACCTTCTAGCATTTTAACTACACTAAAGCTTTCCTGACCATTTTCAAGCAAACATTTTGACAATAAAAGCCATGGAGAGGTTTTCAGGGGAGACATTATAACATTCCCTTCAGCAAAGAGTGGAGGAAAAAGAAGGAAAACATGAAAATTTCTCATCACTTTTAAGTTGCATTAATAGAGAGTGTGCCTAAAAATGTCTTTGCAAAAAGAAGATGCAAAGAGTGAGGGACTTGAGGCTCCCTAACTGGGAAGTGGCAGGTACACATGAAAATCCCATTCTCCTGAGCAGAATTCCCCTGGACAGAGTGCTACCATTTTGATCTCTGAAAAGCAATACCAGGGGCCTCTTAAAACAATCTCAGCATCTTGCTAGGAAGGATTTCCAACCAATGGGCTTCTCCTGCTTCTAGGGTGTCTTTTAGAGGGGAGACAGGGAAGAAGGCTGTCTGAACCGGCAGAATGTAGAGCCCCTGCCAGACCCAGGGAAATTCAGCGCCCTGGAAAATGTGGAATCCTGACGTCTTGTTTCCACAGGCTGCGCCTGCCACCTTATGGTCAGTCTGTAGCATCGACCGGCCAACTGGCAAATTTCCCTGGAATGGGGCTTTAAACTGTGGAAATAAAGAGCATTTACTGAATATTTAGGTTGCCACTGTCAAAATCATCATCACATGGAATTGCTAACACTTACAACAACCCTACAAGTGAGGGACTCTTAGGATCTTCTCCATTTTACAAACTGAGGTCCTAGAGAGAATAGATCATTGCCCTTGATCACATGGAAGGAAAAGTGGAGTCGGATAAGCACCTTAATTATCCAATTCTTGACTGAGTCCACTTCATCTGAACAATGAATTACCATAGAGTCTGTTCCACAGCTTATTGATACAACCCTACCACAGCAACTGCTGCCCAGCCAAGCATCCTACCCAGAGCAGGAGCCCAAAGGACGGGTCAATAATACTGAGATGTCAGCAGGAAAGAGCACTAAGCAAAGCAGGGCCCACATACAGGCAGAGACCAAGTCACTATTTAGTGTCACTCAGCAGGGCTCATTGTCTGGCAGAAGCAGGACAGAGGCAAATGGCTGCACCTCACATTCATGAATGTCCTTAAGTGCAGAGCTGGGCCATTATCTCCAAATGATAGCAGTACACGGAGTGGGAAGAAGCTGATTGTAAGGCATCTTAATCTGGATCCCATTACTGGGTCACAAACCTTGTACATATAATTCTGTAATTATCTTGTGATAATTATATCTTGTCATATAATGCTATTACATTTTTATGTTAAAAGCACTAAATTGTTAATAATAAATATTTTAAATATTCATCTTCATTATTTCTTCATTTTGGAGTAATAATAATAATAATAATAATAATAATAATAAAGTCCTTTAAACTTCTGAAAGGAACTCCACTGGAATTACTGCAATGAAAAGGGAAGCCCAAAGAAGTCTGCCTTTTTTTATTACAAACTTAAACTGGACACTTGCCTTGTTGATCAGCAGCCATAGCCTGAACTTGGCCTCCTGTGCTTGTATAAGGCACCAAAGAGAACAAAGTGGAGAACAGAACGCTGTGCATTTTGTTCTCCCAGCTTCCTGACCACCAAGTAGAGAAGATAAAAAAAAGAGTTCACAGAGGAGAAATTAAAGAGCTGTTTTGTAGGCTGGGGCCTACATTTGTAAATGGTTCCTAGCTCCTAATGTATTGGCAAAGGTCAGGACAATAAAATGCTCCTTCCTGCAAAAGGCATAAGGAGACCTCTCTAGTCTCCTGGCTCTTTCTTTGTGCCAGTGAGAATGAAAATACAAAACTCACCATCATTCAATATGTGTTAATGTAACAAACCATTGAGTTTGTTATCATTATAATATATGGCAACTGGAAAAATTATATATATATATTTTTTTCTCTATAGCATGTCTCCAAGTATTTTGTTCTTTCTTGAAACAATTCAAAGTCCCCTTTATCAAAGCATATGTGACAGAAACTTAAAAGGCAACTTCTGTCCAAGGCACCTAGGCAAAGAGCTTTGACCAGATTTTCTGACAGGTGCCTACAGCTTTGCCCACACCCCACCTGGACCCTATCCCCATGTGTCAGGGCAGCTCTGTGCACCCACACCTGCTCCCAGGACTCACAGGTTGGCCAGGCCCGCCTTGCGCACAGCTGAAGAAATGGCTTTGATTGCTGTCAGCATGGAGTTTAGCAGCTGTGTGAGCTCTCCAGTCCCTTTTGCCTGACGCCCCTTTTCCATAACATAGCGGGTCAGTGTGACCATGTCCGTTTCGAAGGGGCTTCTGTCTGTCATTGTGGCAGGTAATTTTTCAAATCTTTTTCTCCCTGCAGAAAGTCTTGTTTATCTCTTAAGAGCTGTAGCTCCCTGATATCAGAGCTGGCCCAGGACCTTTAAGGAAAATTGCCCAGCCCACGTGATTGAGGTAACTGGGCAAGCCGCAAGGATCTCTCTCTGGCACACTCTTCTGAAGGCTGTCAAGGCACAGTGCAAGCTGTAAATAGAACTGGGAAGCCCAGAGACACAGATCTATTTTCTCTTCATGAGAAAATAGATCTTTAAAGATCTGCTTTAGATCTGCAGATCTAAATAGATCTGCTTTCTTTAAAGATCCTAAGAAGCAACCATCTAGTAATAAGTGGGAGATGAGAAATGGAGCCACTATGAAATAATCCATAAAATCTTCTTATTCAAGGACTGGAAAGGATTCTTTGCATCTATCTAGTGCAGAATCCAATTCCCCTGTGGTTTATAGAAAGCATATTGGCAGTTGTCTTATCTGGGGTGTAGGTGACAAGATAAAGTAATGGCAATCCCGGGACCTCTTAGCAAGGAAGGGTTCTTTCATACATGTTGAAAGATGCTTTTTATCCCCCCCCCAAAAAAAACATGTAGAACTGGATGGATATCCATAATAGATAACCAAATCTGGAAGAAATAAATTCTATTCCTAGCACAGCACCAGGGTTATTTTATCAGTTTCTCTAGATTTGCACTTTTATGACAAAATAATTGTGAGGAAACAGCTTATTGAAAAGGAAACATTGCAGAAGTATATAAAGAAAAATCAAAAGTCCTCATCACCAGCCCATTCCCCAATCTGTTCCCTGGAAATAACTGCTGTTACAGCAGGTGGGTGTCTGCATTAATAGCAGGCACTTGTGGGGTCTGCACATGGTGGTCCAAGCTGTTTCTCTAGGAAGAGACAGACCTGGCTCAGAGTCCCCAGCTAGTTTTCTGCTAGTTGTATAAGGCCTCAGTTTCCTCACTTTTAAAATACGATAATAATAAAACATCTATTTGTCTTATATAGTAGTTGTGAAGATTAAACTGATAAGATGTTCCTGGTACACAATAGGTGTTCAATACTTGTTAGCTATTATTGCCCTTCCAACTTATTGATGTATATGTAATTATTATGTATACATATATAATTTCATTTTACAAAATAGAATATGCACATTGCTCTGCAATTTGATATTTTCCTTTGATAGTTAGTTCAATTAGAATATGTTTAGCTGCAAGTAATAGAAAACTCAGAGTGATTTGGACTTCTGGCAAGATGGAGGAATAGGTGGACGCACCGTACCTCCACGCATAACCAAGATTAGAACAACAACAATTTACAGCTAGAATAACACCCAGAACTCATGGAGGATTTAATCTGAATGGAAGTCGGACAGCCAAGAAGTTGAAGTGGACCCATACATCCAGACTGGTAGGAGGAGCCAAGAGGATGAGCTGGGCGGGCGAAGGTCAGGGGCGCACGGAGGTCGGGGAAAACTTGGCGCAAACTCGGCGCGTGAGCCATCCAGGGCACGCAAAATGCAGCAGGGGTCCCTGAGCACACAAGCTGCGGCTGGCGGACCCAGTAAGGCAGTGATTGTGGACCAGGGCAGAGCTCGAAGCCCAGGATCCCAGAGAAGGGACTGAGATCCCAGGAGAATGGAACTACCGTCATTGTTCCCCCCGTCCCCACCACCACATGTAACGTCACAATCTAGCGACTGGGGTGCCCAGCCCCGGTGAATACCTAAGGCTCCACCCCTCACCATAACAAGAGCGACCAGACCGGAAAAAAAAGAGAAAAAAAAAAAGGAGAGGCAGGGAGAGACATGTTTCCAACAAAAGAACTGATCAGTCCCCCAGGACTCATCCTTTTGAGCAACCAAGAAATAGCCAATCTATCAGATGCACAGTTCAAAACACTGGTGATCAGAAAGCTCACAGAATTGGTTGATCTTGGGTGCAAATTAGATGAAAGGATGCAAGTTACCATAAAAGAGATGAAGGAAGATACACGGAGGAGAGCCAATAATGAAGGGAAGGAAATGGGGTCTCAAAACAATACAGTGGACCAGAAGGAAGATAGAATCAACCAAGCAGGAAAGAATGGAGAAATAATTCAAAAAAAATGAGGAGAAGCTTAAGAGCATCCAGGACATCTTTAAACGTTCCAACATCCGAATTATAGGGGTACCAGAAGGCGAAGGGGAGAAGCAACAGATTCAGCATGTATTTGAACAAATAATAAAGGAGAACTTCCCCAATCTGGCAAAGGGAATGTCTTCCAAGAAATCCAAGAAGCTCAGAGAGCCCCAAAGAAGTTGGACCCAAGAAGAAACACACCAAGGCACATCATAATTACATAAGCCAAGGTAAAAATGAAGGAGAGAATCCTAGAAGCAGCAAGAGATAAGGGGACAGTCACCTACAAAGGAGTTCCCATCAGACTGTCAGCTGATTTCTCAAAAGAGACCTTACAGGCAAGAAGGGGCTGGAAACAAATATTCCAAGTCATGAAAGACAAGGACCTACATCCCAGATTGCTCTATCCAGCAAAGCTCTCATTTAGAATGGAAGGGCAGATAAAGTGCTTCTCAGATAAGGTCAAGTTAAAGGAGTTCATCATCACCAAGCCCTTATTTTATGAAATGTTAAAGGGACTTATCTAAGAAAAGAAGATAAAGAAAAAACATGTATAGTAAAATGACAGCAAACTCACAATTATTAACAACCACACCTAAAACAAAACCAAAAGAAACTAAGTAATCAACTAGAACAGGAACAGAACCACAGAAATGGAGATCACATGGAGGGTTAGCAACAGGGGTGTGGGAGGAGGAGAGAGGGGGAAAAGGTACAGAGAATAAGTAGCATAGAATGTAGGTTGAAAATAGATAGGGGGAGGACAAGAATAGTGTGGGAAATGTAGAAGCTAAAGAACTCATAAGTATGACACATGGACATGAACTAAAGTGGGGGGAATGTGGGTGGGAGGGGGGTACAGGGTGGAGGGGAGTGAAGAGGGGAAATGGGACAACTGTAATAGCATAATCAATAAAATATATTTAAAAAGAAAACTCACAGTGATTTAAAGTGTGGCAATTCATTTTTCTCCTATTTTCTCAAGTTCAGTTGGAGGTGGCTGCTGGCATTCATATAGCCATTCAAAAGTTCCACTAGGGACCTCTGTCTCTCTTCTGTGATCCTTTGTGCTAACTTTTGCCCCACGCTTGTCATTTCATTGGCACAACATAGCCACCACAGCTATAAACATCTAGCCTATATTGAAGAACTGTACAAGAGAGAAAGGGCAGCTGTAACTACGTCAGTTTCCTTTTATTAGAAAAGAGTAGGTAGATACACTGTGCTTCCTCACACAACCAAAAGAAGAAAAACAACAAATTTAAAACCCCAAAACAACCAGGACTGACAGAAAATCAAACTGTGTGGAAGTCCAACAACCAAGGAGATAAAGAACAAACATTCCTCCATACCAGTAGGAGAGGCGGAGATGGGAAGCTGGGCAGAGAGGCATTATGGCAAGGCAGCAACTGTCAGACAGGGCCAGGTGACAGCTGGCGGAGCAGGGGGTCCCACATTTGTGTGCAGATAAACTGGGAGGAACAACTGGGGAGTGAGACTGACTGTGCAACCCAGGGTTCTAGTGCAGGGAAATAAAGCCTCAAAACCTGTGACTGAAAAATCCTGTGAGGGTTAATGTGGTGGGAGAAATTCCCAGCCTCACAGGAGAGTTCATTGGAGAGACCCACAGGGTCCTAGCATGTACACAAAACCACCCACCTGGGAATCCACACCAGAAAGGCCCAATTTGCTTGTGGTTAGCAGAGGAAGTGATTGAAAGCCCGCCAAGAGCTGAGCAAGTGGCATCTGCTCCCTCTCTGACCCCCGCTTTACATACACCAACACAATGCAGTGCTGTGGGTTGCCCCACCCTGGTGAATACCTAAGGCTCTGCCCCTTACTATGTAACAGGTGTGCCAAGACAAAAAAAAATGGCCCAAATGAAAGAACAGATCAAAGCTTCAGAAAAGAATACAATTAAGGGACGAAGAAATAGCCAACCTATCAGATACACAGTTCAAAACACTGGTAATCAGGATGCTCACAGAACTGGTTGAGTATGGTTGCAAAATAGAGGAAAAAGTGAAGGGTATGCAAAATGAAATAAAGGAAAATGTACAGGGAACTAACAGTGAAGGGAAGGAAACCAGGACTCGAATCAATGATTTGGAGCAGAAGGAAGAAACAAACATTCAACCAGAACAGAATGAAGAAACAAGAATTCAAAAAAATGAGGAGAGGCTTAGGAACCTCCAGGACAACTTTAAATGTTCCAACATCTTAATCATAGGGGTGCCAGAAGGAGAAGAGGAAGAGCAAGAAATTGGAAACTTATTTGAACAAATAATGAAGGAGAACTTCCCCAATCTGGCAAAGCAAATAGACTTCCAGGAAGCCCAGGAAACTCAGAGAGTCCCAAAGAAGTTGGACCCAAGGAAACACACACCAAGGCACATCATAATTACATTACCTAAGATTGATACATGGAGAGAATTTTAAAAGCAGCAAGAGAAAAGGAGAGGGTTACCTACAAAAGAGTTCCCATAAGACCGTCAGCTGATTTCTCCTAAGAAACCTTACAGGCAAGAAGGAGCTGGAAAGTATTCCAGGTCATGAAAGGCAAGGACCTATATCCAAGATTACTCTATCAGCAAAACTATCATTTAGATGCAAGGGCAGATAAAGTGCTTCCCAGATAAGGTCAAGTTCAAGGAGTTCATCATCACTAAGTCCTTATTATATGAAATGTTAAAGGGACTTATCTAAGAAAAAGAAGGTAAAAAATATGAACAGTAAAATGACAACAAACTCACAACTATTAACAACCAAACCTAAAAGAGCAAAAATTTTTTTAAAAAACTAAGCAAACTAGAACAGGAACAGAACCACAGAAATGGAGATAGCATGGAGGGTTATCAGTGGGGGAGTGGGAGGGGGAGAAAAGGGGAAAAGGTACAGGGAATAAGTAGCATAAATGGTAGGTACAAAATAGACAGGGGGAGGTTAAGAATAGCATA